ATTGGGTTGCTCAAAACAATTCTACATTTAAGATGGATGACATCATTAAACTGGCAGACCAAAAATTGGCTTCCATAACTGCAGAAGAATGGCAACGTAGATGCCAACATGTAAGGAACATTGAGCAACAATTAATGGCATGGGAAGGCCTTTGGACGCAGGACAGGAGTTCGTTTTCCATGTTGGCGGTGATAGTGATGATAGTTCCGATTCATCTGGTGGTGACGAGGAAGGACAGGCATGTGAAGAGAGAACTCTTCATAACTGCCACTGTGAGAACCTCAGATCCTTCACAGCTCTATATCTCAGAAGAGAGAACGCTCCATGACCACCGCTGTGAGAACCTCAGGTCCTACACGGCGCTATATCCCAGAAGACAGAACTCTCCATAATCACCGCTGTGAGAGCCCCAGATCCTACACAGTGCTATATCCCAGAAGAGAGAACTCTTCATAATCACCACTGTGAGAACCTCAGGTCCTACACAGCGTTATATCCCAGAAGAGAGAACTCTTCATAATCACCACTGTGAGAACCTCAGATCCTACACAGCGCTATATCCCAGAAGAGAGAACTCTTCATAACCACTGCTGTGACAACCTCAGATCCTGCACAGAGCTATATCCCAGAAGAGAGAACTCTCCATAATCACCGCTGTGAGAGCCTCAGATCCTACACAGCGCTATATCCCAGAAGAGAGAACTCTTCATAACCACCTCTGTGAGAACCTCAGATCCTACATTGAAATTAATTTGTCATCGCTCATTTGCATTTCCTGCTTTATACTGTCGTACAGCATCAAATGTAAGCATTCATGAATGGGCTTCTAAAAGCAAAAATACCGAATTAGTCAGAATTGTTATGCTCTGCATATATTTCCAAACTTGTTTTCTTCGTATCTGGTATTGTGAATGTGTTTCATACTTATACATCAGCTATGTAATGGTACCATGATTCCAACTACTACTTGCATAATGAATTTTGTGTAATTGTATAGTTTATTATGCTGTGGAGGTACATGTTTTATGTCCTGAAATTTCCTGAGTGAAGGTTTGAATGCTTTTCCTTGGTTTTGTTGGGGAAGTGCAGGAATAATACCTTAAAATAGGCTGTCATCATTCCTTTGTATTTGTCATCAGTTCACACTTTTTACCACCCATCATTTCTAATCTTCGTGAAAGACAGCTGTTCAACAATAGAAACAACACAATGATATTTCATCTTCCATTGCTACAATATGGATACTGTTTTCAGAATGATTCAATATTGCAGTAAGCATGTATTGATTTATTTTTGCACATGCTTGATATGAGACATTTTATATTTGCTAAATTATTATCTAATGTAATAATACACCTTACAGCACATTTTATCTAATTCAAATATCATAGTTTTAAGTGTGGCTCAGATAGGTTTAGTAGCAGGGCCTTGTGAACACAGTAATGAACCTGCAGGTTTCATAAAACATATTGAATTTCTTGACTAGCTGACTAAATATTAACTTTTCAAGAAGGACTGCTTGAGGTAGTTCATATTTGTAAAGATATGTATGTGATAAGTCCAGTTCTTTGTATCTCCTCCCTGTTAATTATATGGGTCCATGCCCATTTCAGACACATAATATTCTGATAAGCGAAGCTGTATAAGCAAGTGACAAATGTTAGGACATTACCTTATATTAAACCATGATCTCCACATAATTTCCAGTCCATTATTCACTAATCATCATATGATTTGATGCTATATAATCTGAGGGAATTAAAACATCTCTAAATAAAAGCTTAGGATTCTGTACCTGTAGTATGTGTTTCATTGAAGGGCATACAACATACTAAATGTGTAAAGAATGGATACTTAAGGCCGCACCATAGCTCAAGCGGTTAGTCGCTGGCTTCCCACCGCAGCAGCCCGGGATCGATCCTGGGTCTGGTCAAATGGGATTTGTGGTGGACAAAGTGGTGCTGGGGTGGGTTTCCTCTGAGTACTTCGGTTTCCCCTGCCAATCTTCATTCCACCAAATTCTCCATCATCATGATCACCCAGTGCAGGCTACAATAGGCCAATCAGTGGCCATTGTGCTGAGTGGACCCAGTTGGACTCCATCCCCCACTAAGCGATTTTTTTTTAATGGATACATATGAAGAAGTCTTGCATATAATACTCCTAGTGATATATTCATTGTTCTTAAAAATTTCTATGTTGCAGAGATGAGGGATGAATTGTATCATATTGTAACTGTTGAATGATGTAACATAATGCAACATAACATATTATCTTACTCTTTTTTATTTTTTTATTGCTAGTGGGGTGGGACTAAATCCCTTGTACTGCGGCCACTTCTGGCCTATTGTACCAGCCCCAGATGATAGGTGAGGGTGATTGTGGAGCAATTGGTGAAGATTGACGGGAAACCGAAGTACTCGGAGAAACCCTGCCCCAGCGCCACTTTGTCCACCACAAATCCCACTTGACCGGACCAGGGATCGAACCTGGGTCGCTGCTGTGGGAAGGCAGTAACTAACCGCTTGAGCTATGGCGCGGCCTATTATCTGACTTCGTGTTCCACCTTTTTTGTCATCTGTGTGCACTGTTGGTTAATATTCTCTTGTCATCTTCAGTTTATTTTCACTACATGTTTTGGCCTAACCAGCTATCATCAGGTTTACCATTTGTTCTGATGGACAATGCTGATCGCTGTACTGCCGTTTAGCAGCGGAGTCCATAATCACAGCAATCTCTGCACCTGTAAATGTCCAGTTAGGCCAAAACTTGTAGTGACAATAAAGAGAAGGCAACAAGAGAATACTAACCAACACTGCACATTGAAGACAAAAAAGCGGAACACAAAGTCAGATCAGTGTGTGTGTGTGAATGCGTGTGTGCATGTGCATGCCTCAGTGTGATATCTCCACAGAAGGTGCAGTTCTGTCCTCAGTTTGCCACAAGAAGAAACAGTATCATATGAGCAGTTGGCATAATGACTCCTTGTTTTACTCATGTTGTATAGATTCGTTTGTTGTGGATACATCAGTGTCATGGAGCTGCTGTTAATGTGATTGAATATCTTACACCAAAGGCACAAATGGATGATAATGTTTTGCTGTCATTTGAATTTCTCTCCTTTGAAATGATCATGGACTGAGAAGTTTCGCAATAGACTTTCTGTAGCTCAGAAATTATCAAATGGCTATCAGTTGTTTGCACTGATTGACCATATTTTATAGGTAACATTACCAATTAATTCAGACATGATATCTAAACTCTCATAGTTCTAAAAACATACAATCTCATGTGGGGCCCGGTCATTGTTCTCATTTGGAGATTATGCTAAATGAAACCAGCTGAGTTTCTGTCCATATTTAGCTTTTATATTTTGTATGTGTTTGTTGTGACCACATTACTTTTTCTGTGCTGTTATACATACAAGTTATTTAAAAATTAATGAAGGGCTGTATCTTTATTATCTGAATATCACTGTGGGCTGGGCTGAAATTTTGATGTTCAATTGTGGCCTGCTGGTTGTATTTCCCACTCATGATCTAAAGGTAGACAAAATGTCCACCATGAATAATTAACAGATCATTGTTCAAAAGAAAATTGTTGATGCTGATGTGTGCTATTTCACAGACACCATTTTCCTTTCAGGTTTTGGTCTTCTGGGTTATTATTAGTATTCTGTGGTATCAGTGGTTGTCAGTGTTTTGGAGGAGCATTCTATCTCTGTTTTCAGAGTAAACGATAAAGATCAGGATGAAGTCAGCATGTTCTTCCATAATGTTACTACCAGAATATATGGTGTCATAACCTGAAGATCACAATCTGAATCTTCACTGCCATGAAAACCTCAGATCCCATACAATTTCCTTGTTTCTGTCACTTTTATAATAAGAGATCATGTGAGGATTTTCAGAACCTTAAATTTGCAAGTGTCTGGATTTGAATGAAAACCACTTTGGAACCATTTTTTTACTTACTATCTCCATACGGTCAGGATTATGCTTAAATCATGTCTTGAAGCAAATTAGAGTACTATATCAGAATATGAGTGTAAAACACAAAGCACGGGTAGGCGTGGTGGTTCACTTTTTGCACTGTGAAGAGAAGTTATGGCTGCCTAAAACGAAATGGAAACACAGGGTAGCAGATAATGGAATGTTGTAAGTATATGGTATAATCATATCCATGTGTGTGTATCTTTATGTTCATATGCGTATCCCACTCTCCTCGTGAGTTTATGCGGATACATGTTGTGAATGTCTCTACAGATTTTGTTTGAAACATTCTATTTGTATTACAGAATTCTTTGAGTTTATGTCTGACAACTTTCAGGCTGTGGGACTCTGTAGTGGAAATGAGCAGAAATGTGTCACTGAGTTGTATAATCTTTATGTTCATATGCATATCCCAATCTCCTCGTGAGTTTATGCGGATACATGTTGTGAATGTCTCTACAGATTTTGTTTGAAACATTCTATTTGTATTACAGAATTCTTTGAGTTTATGTCTGACAACTTTCAGGCCGTGGGACTCTGTAGTGGAAATGAGCAGAAATGTGTCACTGAGTTGTATAATCTTTATGTTCATATGCGTATCCCACTCTCCTCGTGAGTTTATGCGGATACATGTTGTGAATGTCTCTACAGATTTTGTTTGAAACATTCTATTTGTATTACAGAATTCTTTGAGTTTATGTCTGACAACTTTCAGGCTGTGGGACTCTGTAGTGGAAATGAGCAGAAATGTGTCACTGAGTTGTATAATCGCTAATTTATAATTCCTAGCAGACATATGTTATTTCTGGAACTTGTAATTAAAAATTGTTCTTGTGCATTCATAATAACATCCGAAACAGAAAATAAAAAGTTTTGGGCATGTTCTGTACAACGGTAAATACTGTTCATTCACTTTATATTAAGATTGGAACATCTTGCACATAGATCTGAAGAATAGCAGTTTCTTAAATTCTTGTTACTAATAGTAAATTTCTGTTTCTGTTGGCAGTAAAGTCCCTGCATTCATAAGGCTACTAGCACCAAAAGGCTCTCTAGAAGTTCATGAAGAGGCGTGGAATGCATACCCCTATTGTAAAACAGTTATATCGGTGAGTGTTGGGTAATTTTATTTGTAACTTAGAATGAAATAGCAAATTATTGCATAAAATGGTTTACATGAAGAACGCTGTTGATCTTAACCCCGCAACTGCTGATTGTTAAGACAGTCTAATGCTTCAGGCACCAGTTCCCATTTTGTTGGGGTGTTGACTTCTAGAAGAAGCAAAGTAATTCACATGTCCCACATTGCATGCTATTCCTTTAGACCATGTACTTAAGAATAATTCAAGGAACATCTTTTACAACCTCTGTGTACAGAGGCAATTTATGCTTGAAATGTGTCTTTCATTTTTTTAAGAGTCTGCAACTCATGACAGCTGAAAAGATTTTTATGAAATTTTGTAATTGAATGTATTTTAAAATTTCTTGTTTTGTCCCTTATCAGTTGAATACTAGTTTGTTTGTTTTTTTTGTGCATGAAGCAGAAATTTAACTTTCGAATTTCTCAGAGCTGTTTATTATACAAGACATTATTCCACAACATAAATATATCTAGATTTTATAGATATGTAAGTTTTATGTGAAATGTTTTTTGATACAAGGAAAATTATTGGTACTGTTTTTTTTTAAGCTGTAGGATTAGGGTGAGACAGGGTCCTCTGATGCTGTGTTGTCAAATGGGTTTGTTATGCCCGCAATTATAGACTTGTATTTGGGAGGTGCTAGATTTGAATCTCAGCTGGGACACCAGCTATCCTGACAGATTTCTTGTGATATTCCTCACTGCCCCAGGATTTTTTTTTTGGGATAGTACCTCACTTAGGCTGTGACTGCTTCTTTCAGAATCGTTCATAGTGCATCAGTAATCCTGCCATCTGATGCTCCATAATTTGATACTGAAAAGAACTGTTAAATAACCAATTAAAAATAAATCTCTTATGAATTCTCTGCCGTATTGCTTGTACTGTGAACAGTTTTCCAACCACTGTTAACAGTTTTTGTGTTGTGAAGTCCATGGGAATTTTTGTGTTGTAATTCATGCTTGTGTTACATAATATGAATGAAATATGAGGTCATGTACTGCATAGTATGCACTCTCATCAAGCAGCAAATTTGTACTTTTATCAAGAACTTGATACATTACATCACACAAATCATAGTCTTAGAATGACTGAATGTCTTATTTCTCTGCCAGCTTACAAACTGCACCAAAGATCTGCGATGAAGTAGTCTGAATGTATATTCATCGGTACACATGTAAGCCATTTGACACTTCCCATTTGGTGTGGGTTAGAAAATATGTACTTTACTTCTGTCAGGAGAATTATGTATATTGGCGGCAAGGATTCAGGCCAGCTGCCTGCCCCCCCACCCTACCTACACTGTTCATGTCCCCTCAGTCAACAGCTCAGGCTCATCTTGCTGTAGGAGGAGGGAGCTGTTTACTTCATTATTATTGATTATTGTAAATGACTTAAATAACTATATAATTTTATGGAATATATTATAGTAGTTGATTAATTTAGTAAAATTAAATGACATGATTTGTCAGTGGAAATTCTTAGCAGACCAGGCTTACCTCCATGTCTTGGAAGGAAGGAGCCATTTACTTCATTATTATTTGTTGTCATGATAAATATTGTCATTGATATTAATAAAATACAGTACAATTTATAGTGAATTGACAAGTTGAAACTACAACTGAAGTATTTCATTTCAGTAGAGCAGGAAAGCCCATCAGTCATTATAAGACTTTAGTTACTTTAAATTATATTCTTATGATAATTACTGCTAGAAGTAGACCATTTTAAATTGTGTAGTTTTTCGTAGGAAATTGATATTCATATGCTGAATGTACAGAAGTTAATAGTAACTATTTTTGAATATCCAATACAGGTGGCTCTTGTTATACATGCTTTAGATATCTCCTTTTTCTCATATCCCTGGGTTTATTTCATTGTCATGAGGAGTATTGGTGTCCTGTCTGTGACAGTGGCAGAAGCTGCTCCACATGTTCATCAGGTTATGTGGGTAGTTTCCCAGACACATCCACCATTTTAAACTCAGTTATGTTGTTTCCTAATATACCATCATAGTCAGTGCTCATTCAGTTAATTTTTTATATACACAGATATTTTGAGGGATGCAAACCTTGTGTGTAACAAGTCATCTGTGTTTATTACTGTCAGGTGAACTCATTAGCAGTGAATAGAAACTTCAAGAAGCTAATCTGTTTCTGTACACCTCTTGATATGTGAGCTAAATCTAAACAGATTTTTTGAATTACAGAATCCATATATGAAGGAGAAATTTGTTTTGGCCATAGAGACAATGCATGTGGCTGACAGAGGATTGCAGGATAACGTGAGTCATATAGTGTAGGAACATCATAATTATTGCTTTGCTTTTCTGTACAGGTCATAGGTGAAGCTGGTGATGTGGGAAGCGGTGAATTTCATGTGCTTGGACATCTGAGTGGCATAATTAGTGATCTACAAATGATGAAGCTAATACTGTAGAAAATAATTTTAAATTAATTCTGCCACTGAATTGTCCATGTTTTAGTGTAAATAATTGTGTAATATATCATACATGAACAGATAAGCTACTACCGCTGTTCAGGGCTATACATATGTGTCTGATATCCCAAGCTTATGGACAAATGAGGCATAAGTTAACGAAGTTATGTGAAAACTGTTCATACCCATGGATTCCATGGAATCCGTGGTGACTTTCTTCCCACCTCTTATTTCTCACAAATCTTTACATTGCCACTGTCATGTTTCTTTTTCATAAAACAATTGAAAGCAAGTTATAAACACAAGTTATTGTTTGTGACTTACAAGATGATCTGTTGGCCCATCAGGGTCTTTACTTAAGTGCTCAACCAGATGAGTCATGATCTAGCTACCTCATCATCTGAAGTTGGAAATAATGTTTCACGTCCTCAGCCTACCTTTTGAGTGTATTGTGTAGAGTTTTTGAGGGTTTCCTGATACCAGAATTGTGAACTATGGCTGCTGCTTTTATAGTTCTCTTCAGTCCCTAATTTGCGGTATCACCACCATCAGAAAATGTGTTGCAGTTAACAGAAAAACTGTACTTTTGAGCTCCTTTTGTTGCTTGTAGCTTTTAGTGATCATTAGAATATTGGAGTGATTTGCTGTCTGTATTTCATTTGTTTAAAATTGTGGAGCATGTCAACTTGTTAAAGACAATGTTTTTGTTCCATGAGAAGCTTAACTGGAGGAACATTAAGGTTTGACAGTCTTAGCTTTGAAATTAATATTGTTGCTTTGGAAGAATGATGTATTGCTAGCAGAAATTTGACCCAGCAGAATAAGCATATAGTACAGATACAGACTTGTAGTCTTCTCAGTTACCAGGTTTCTGTCTTCATATTTTCATGGAACTTTTAGATTATCTGACCGTATTCAGTGTATAATTCTAAAATTTTGTTTTGTTATAAATGTCAGTAGCATATTATAGTTCTTAAAAATAAGAAATTCTGCAAAGAACATTATCAGTTCTTATTCTGTCTTTCTGTTGACTCCTTCTGTCTGTACGCATACAAACTCCAGTCCTCATGTGAAGGCCCATACCAGGAAGTCATCTGGATAAATTAAGTGATCTACAGGATACAGCAGAACCCTAGAAAAAGTGATGGTGGTACACCTGGACCGACTTGCACCTTATCAAGGAACCGCTTGGGTTTAGCGGCCCTAAGGAGGGAGCAATTGGAGGACCATAGCATGCAGCCCTACCCACAAAGAAGGAAGGCTTGACACCCACAAAATCGGAAAAGAAGCACCAGCAAGGCATTAAACTGGCATTCAGCAGGGATGACTACAGACGTCACGGGCATGGCCCTTTGGAGAAAACAATGATACGCCTATAGGCTACTGAGGATGAGCAGCTTTAAGGAGGGAGCAATGTGGCGAGTCTGCAAACACGTCCATTGCTAGGAAGTGGCCCAGGAAATGTCATGTGACCACAGCCTGCTTACTTATGCAACAATAGAATTGTTAGAAACTGTATTCTATGCGGTCAGTGCCTAGGTTGTATAACTTGGACCCTGCAAGTTGCATGTCCCACCTGGGAGGATGTGTCTGACGCTCACTTCTTTAAATTGTTACACCAGCAGAATAGAGCACTGTGTGCTATTGGAAATCCCGACAGGTGCGCACCAGTCTGTGAATTGCCTGTGGCTTTCAAAATTCCCTGCATGTATGACTACATAACTAAATTATGCAGGACACAGGCAGAAATAATTCTAAACTATGAAAATCCAAATGTACATGGAACTGGTCAAGGAGAAGCCAGGCATAGGAAGTACAGAATATAAAAGTCTGAAATTTGACAGCAGTCAGGCTTACGACTGTTCAGCTGACTATCTGCAGTTTCAGATTAGTTACATAAGTTAAGGCATAAGCCTGCATTGACAGAAAACCTCTGTATATCTTTATAAATGTTACTTAGTACGGTGCAATGACAAAGAGTGTACAGAGTCCATAGTGACATGGATGCCATGACAGCACAGATGTACTTGTGCTGAAACTACAATGCAACAAATGGAGCGCTTACATAGAAAGACCTCTCCCTTGTCAAAGAGGAGGCCCCACTTCTAAATACATATATGTCTAGGAGAGAACAGAAACTGTGGTTGTGGATCTTGAGGAGACTGAAGCCAGGAATGGGTGTGCTGGTGAACCCCAGCAGCAATCCAGCTGACTGACTGACTGACTGACCATAGTTAGTTGTGAGATAGGCACCAGCCAACAAGGAAGAGTGCCATGGAACACTGAACCTAAGGAGTCTGTGATGTTGGGAACTGTTACCAGACAACAACTGATGAAGACATAGCAGACTGAGAAGACTTAGTGTGTGTTGTAGTGAACTGTTGAGTGTTTGAATTAACGATAACACTGTAATTAATTGTAGTTACAAGTTTCAAAGAGTTCACAAATACATGACAGTATGTGTAAACATGCTTTTAGCCCATGGTTCTTTCTTTGCATCTAGACAGCAAATTAGGCTCTCCCACGATATGACAGCCTTTCTTCACTTAATTTTATTTGAAAATAAGCTACTTGTCTTTTTAGTGCCTGTTCATAGTCATACAGTTTTCACAGACCCCAGGAATAACCCTTGCTGCACATTCAGTTTCACTGTATCCTGATTCTGAAGCCTGTGTTTCTCTTTTGTGGTTTATTGTACAGTGCTGTTGGTATGCCGAACTACTTGGTGTCAAGAAGTAGGATGGTTGTTGAATAGTGAATTGAAAGGGATTTAAGAGTAAGTCATCATATCATAATTGAGGTACAGTTTCAGGATTTGCCTGGTGGGACTGAGGAATACCACAAAAGAACCTCAGTTAGGATAGTTGGCATCCCAATGTTTCAATGTATTAGGCATTGCAAAGGGATAATTTATTTCCCATAATTGATACTCCATAAAGGTATTTCATATCATTATCACAAAGATTATTTTGGAACATACAAGATTCGCTTATAGACATTCTCTTTCCTTCTCTGTTTAAGCACATCCTTCAGATAGTCACATTTTCTGCCACTTCCAGTGTATTAATAGAATAAATTTATAAACTGAAACAAATTATCTCTCTAGCTGTATTGATTTATACGTAAGTCATACCAAAAGTCATGAGCAACTTTTTTTTGCATGCAACCTGGGAACAGCAGACGAAAGAGAGTACAGTGGTAGGTGGAACCAGCTGTTGTGTTAACCTTGAGTGTCTTGTGACGTCAATAGCTTGCATCACGTGACCAGTATAACTCCTAACAAAATGGCCAATGATATGTCGTTTCGCCAGCATGCTGTCATTGAATTTCTTGTGTAAGAGGAAATCCCTGCTGCAGAAATTCACCATAGACTTCAGCATGCTTATGGAAGTGTGTGCATGGGTGCAAGCAGTGTTTGAAGATGGGTGAAACATTTTAAAGATGGGAACACCATCGAAGATGAGCCTCAGAGCAGTTGTCCTTGAACAGCCTCAACTGAACGCAACAAGGAAAGAGTGGATGAGATCATTCAAGATGACAGGCGTGTGACTGTGGACACAATAGCCCGAAAACTTGGAATAGGGCACAGTGCAGTACAGGAGATGATTGAAAGCTTGGGCTATAGGAAAGTTTGTGCTCGTTGGGTCCCGCGGTTATTGACCAAAGACCACAAAGGTCAACAAAAAGCCATCACCTCAGAACTGCTGCAGAGATATTGACACGGAAGCGATGATTTTTTGCTCTGTATTGTGACAGGTGACGAAAGCTGGTTTCACCATTTCAAGCCTGAAATGAAACGGCAGAGTGTGGAATGGCACCATTTGCATTCTCCATCAAAAAGGAAGGCAAAGACAGTGCCATCAGCTGTGAAGGTGATGGGCACAGTCTTCTGGGATGCAGAGGGGTTTATTCTGGCCGAATTCCTGGAACCTGAGCAAACCATCAGTGCTGCTCGTTATGTCCAGACGCTGCACAAGCTCCGTCGTGCATTGCGCAATAAACGTCCGGGACAAAACATCATCATCCTGCATGACAACGCTTGTCCCCACGCCACTCGCCTCACATTGGAAGCAATTACAAAGATGGGGTGGGAAGTTCTTCCACACCCCTCCTATAGCCCTGATCTGGCACCCTCTGACTACCATCTTTTTGGATTTGTGAAGGATCAGCTGCGTGGACAACGTTTTGAGACAAGGGAGGCAATTCAGAAAGCAGTGCGTCAGTGTCTTCGGATGGCTGGAACGGAATTTTACAGAAGGGGAATTTTCAAACTCCCAGAACGCTGGGAGAAATGTATACAGAGAAGTAGCGATTATGTGGAAAAATAAAGAAAGGTCTGTTGATTGAGGTGTATTTGGTTTGTCAATAATAAAGCATGTTACTTTACAAGAAATTGTTGCTCATGACTTTCAGTATGACCCTCGTACTATTATGATTTTGTAAGAAAAATCCTTGTCACATCTGTGGCTATTAGTCCAAGTTTCTGTTTAAACTTCCCTTAATGAGTTCCATTTGGACATGTGTTTTAAATGCATTTGTTATTTTCCCTGTGCCTCTTCAGTGTTTATTTAATCATGGAATGTGCTTCAGCAGGCATCATTTTACCCTGTAGTTAATACATACTCAGGAAAATCACCTGTTGTGATTCACTTTCAAGAAATCACAGCAGAAGATATTTCCTTTTCCAAGATCCTCAATAAAAACTTGCTTTCATCATGTGGTATTAATGTTGATGTGGCTAGTGCAGTTAAGCTGTCATGTTGCTCAGTGTTATCTGTTCATGGTGATGATGTTTCTTACATGTTATGTGTTGGCAGTAGTTTCACCATGATATGGTTCTTTGTGTTGGCATGCTTTTCTCCATGGCTCTATGGTGGTGGGATGGTTCCTGTTCATCAACGTGCAGAATCCCGGTTATATGAAAGAAAATTTCATCATTGTAATAGAATCATTACATTTAGCAGATACAGGAATGCAACAAAATGTAAGTCATGTTGTTGACAGTCAAACAGCTGGTTTCTTGCACATACACCTGCCTGTAGTTTGTACATACTATGATTGGTGTCTTTTCGCAACTGCCAATATACACATTAAATTTCCGTGTAATTTTTGCATCTTCTTATAAGTAATACATTTCATATAAACTTACACATACACATTAGGCATGTGCCAGTCTCAAATTTCTAAGAAGGAAATCTTGATCTTGATTTGATCATTATTCCAAAACTTCAAGGACTTTCTGATAACTTCTTTTGCTTTGCACACTGGGTCTTTGTCAAAATGGACCTGCATCTTATTGGCCTGAATGGAGGGTGAATTCTTTCTCCGTTGTAAGGGTAACAACTGCAAGGTCACAAACCAAAAGCTACCACAGGGTTGCCTGAAATACCACCACAGCTGTGAAACAAAGCATTAATTCACTAATTTATGATATCATGAATTTCTTTGTTAGTGGAAATGTCACTCAACATAAAAATGGCAGACCTTGACAAGAAAAATGTACCAGTGTGAAAGGGAATAATATGTCAAGAAGTATCGGGCACTGCAGTTATGATTTGTACTTTAAGACGGTGGTGATCAAATATGCAGAACAAACGAACGACTGTGAAGTGACAAGAAGATGCATTGTCTCTTGAGGCAAAAATGCAGAGACAGAAACAACAAAATCAAGAACTTGCACTGATTCTACATGAATATCATCTGTACGGATTCGAAGGCAGAATGGAATGTCACTTCCATGCTACATCATTAGCAAATAAGAGGCTGGAAATTTAAGTCCAGCTCAAGGAAACAGGTTTGCTTTACAGCTAAGGTTTTCACTTTGGAAGAAGGTAGCATTTCACTTCAAGGCAATGCCAGTGAAATGTCATTATATTTCAATCTGTTATCCAGTTACACCGTAGATTATGCAGGTGCAAAGCCTGTTGTCATAAAAACATCTGGCTGTGGAAAGATGCAAGTGACTGCAATGTTAACACAGTTGGGAAACCATGTGTAACTGCCAATTTAATGTGATTTTGGAGTGAAAAACAGTGCCTGAATCACAACTGCCTGTGGGACTAATAATGAGATATAAAGCTAAGAGATGGGGGACTGGTTACAAGTTGTCTGAACAGGAAACAAGATCATTCCCAATGAAAATAACAAATGCTAATCCATGATATGTATATAGTGGCCATCTTGTAGTGCACTCAGTTTCATCAGGGCACCTGAGTATGGCACTATGTTGCCGAAACATGTCATGAAGTAAGAGGTGAAATTGAGTGCACTACAAGATGGCCACTGTATACATATCATGGATGAAAATCAATGCAACAGGACGCTAAAATACAACATTACAAATGCTTATGCTGGATGCATTTAAAGGTCACTTAACAGAGGATATCAGATTGTGATTTGTGCAGTGACCTTGTGGTCATACCTGGAGGGATGACCTTCACACCTACATGTTCTATTAAATAAGGTTTTTAATGATAATTTTAAACAGTTGTATTCCAAATAGCTCCTGGCATGGGATCATCTTCTGACACCACCAGGACAACAAAGAAGCCCAGTGTGGAACTATGCTGGTCGACCAAGACCGAAGACCATGGCAACAGATCTCTTCAGAAGTGATAATCACAGAATTTAAAGACTTCCTTAAATCTGATGAAATGGATGGATGGGAGGATGGTCATTGAACACAAGAGTGTGAGCATTGGGTGTGAGATAACAGAAAAGGGCAATTGTGAAGACACTTAAGCTGAGATAGGTGATAAGAATGGTGAACAGAATGAGTCAGATGAAGCTGAATAAAGGCTAGTAGCTTCCATGAGCAAACCAACTCAAATTTCATGTATAATATGTTTTCTAGCGTTTATTTTATTTCACTCTTTCTGTGCAGACATCTTTCCTATTGCAGGTTTGTCTTTCATTTGGCTAAATATGTTAGCACACTGAAAAAGTTGGTAGTGTTATAAATTATTAAGTGGAGAAATTGATCTCTTAGAGAAAGTTCTTTTTAAATGTTTTCATATTCTCATCTCAGATAACTTTCAAATAAAAAAAAACATGCTTGCACATGTCTTATAATCACACAAGGAACATACTAAATTAGAACTTGACTGGCTGTTCAGGTTTCAAAATGGAGTTCATGCTTTCACATAATTTGATAAATTTGATTTCTGTCATAAAGGTGAAGAACAAAGTGGTGCATCTGCTACCCAAGCTTCTTAGATAATATTAAAATATTACAGAATTAAATACTGCACAAGCTACAATTCATATAGATGGATTCTTGTGTCCCTTTCCACACAGAGGTATAAAAGAAACGCGGAAAAGTCGTCCCCACTGAAGTTTCAGTAGCTGACTGAAGGAATAAAACTGTAGTGGGATAGTATTGTCATGTGTTTATGGCTCCATATCGGGTTCTGGAGTGGATTTATTGACACCTATTACAATCTCTCTTAATCACAATCAATTATAGCACTGTCACTAATCTACCCACTTCACAAATCACTAGGACACGCTCCATTCTCGTTCTTGTTCTCATCCTGACTCCGCTGTACTCCTGTTCTATACTCCTACAGCTGCCAACTTCGGAATTCAGCTCTCTTATAATCACTTAGCATGGACTCCATGGAAAACACAGCCTGCATTGTTGATGAGGCCCACTTACTGTGCTGTTGTCAAGCAACAGATATCCTTCTGTTGCTGAAAGCATATGCTTCATGAATGTCAATGAATTGACTACATGTCAAACTATATTAAAATTCATAAACCTGGACAAACTAGTATTGCAGGAGAAATATAAATTTTGTGAACAAGAGGTAACCTGTATGTGAGGGACAGAGACAGTAACATTCAGAGCCGAGGCACACCCATACTCATATGTATTGAGTGTAATAATAAATGGAAAAAATTATGCTGTGACTTGGTGCATATGAACCACCATGAAAGTCAGGACTGTTGAAATCTGTCCTTTTAAAATGAGTATGTCTGCCATCCCTAATTAACAGTACCAAGTGCATAGAGAAAACGCACCTGAAGATGGCACATTAGTGCTGAAACATGTAGTGCAAAAGAGAAGAGTAAGGTGAAAAAGTGTGTGCACTGTAAGATGGTTAGCATAAATCATGGACATGATTTATCATTATAATACAGTAATATGTTTTAAAATACATTTTTAACTTACTTTAAGAATAATGAATACTCCAAAAAAGACATAAGAATAAATATTTTAAACATATAGAAATATTTATTAACAAGCAGTCTATGTCAACAATTATTAATAATAGTAAATACTCCAAAAAAGGCATAAAACTATACAGACAGATTTATCAACAAGCCGTACATGTCAACAATTATTAAAAAATTCTTGAAGAGAATAGAAGACATTACACAACAAATAATTCTTAAGTTTCTTCTTAAAAACATTAAAATTTATTACATTCTTTAATTCAGTTAGAAGGCCATTAAATATTTTGGTTCCCATACTAATCACCCCTCTCTTGCTATGCTCAGTATTACAAAATTGTATATACAAATTGTGTTTATGAATAGTGTTATAGCGATGAACATCAGAATACTGGGTGGTATAAATCTTATTTTTTATTATAAAACATAGGATCTCAAAAATTTGAAATTGGGAGGCTTCTTTAATGTGCTAGGTCATGTGAAAGAATTGTTTCATGTTTACAGCTGAACTATATTACTTAGCAGTAGTACTACACAAAAATTGTAATAATGTCTGAAGTAGATTTGAATTTTGCATGTTTTTACTTATGTTAATGTAGGGAATTTGGTGTTTAGAACAGTAGTTATTTTGAAAATTGGTTGTAAAGCAAAGCAGTTTATAGATTGTAATTGAAAATTAGCAGATGTATATGAATTTCTGTGTGTTGTACAGTCATGTACAGTGTAGTAAAGTAGTGGTAATGTAGAGTCACTATTTCTGCAGATGACTACCTGTTGTGTTTAAAAATGGTTTGTACTGTGCTTCAGATTAATATCTTTTTATTCACAACACACAACTTCAAAATATGCCCCCTCCATTGCATAATGCTGATTTGTCTGATTGACTGGGTAAGTGAGTATGGTGGACACTTAGGCTTGCCTTTAATAATGTCTGGTGTGTGAGTTCAGTAGTTCAGTAAGGACAATGAACAATGGAGGTACAGTATCAATGAACAATTAAAGTACAGTGTAGATATGTACACAGCAATACTGATCTTTGTGTACATTTGTAATATTACAGAATTTATAAGATTTACACACTCATTTTCAGATTAAGAATTTTAAAGAAAAGCCTTAAGCCTGATATTATGACCTTGGCTGAGCACTGTAAATGTAAATACATTTATGTTGAGTGCATGGAATAGTTCCCAAAGTTATACAAGTCAATGTATATAAAAACTTTTGCAAGGTCACATATTCAGTTTACTTGAAGAATCCGGTAAGTCCTGTCTTTTATGATCCACTATTGGGACTGTTTGAAGAATTTATAAAGAAGACAACAGAGGTATTAGAATAAAGATAGAGTACTTTTAAAATTTAGGAACACCTTGATTACATTTTAAAAGAATGTTGAGCTTACTGATTATTTCCCAATCACTTGGAATATTTTAATAAATGTGTGTGTTGTGCCCTACCCTGCTATGTGATGGCCAGGCTAATTGTATGGAGCAGATGTGTGTTGAAGCTGCTCGAGACATTTCCAACCTTTTGGAATCCAAAGGATACAAGAGCTTGCTGCTTGGTCTCATCATGAGCCATATCAATCCAGTCCACATACTCTGTGATATTAAAATCCATCTTAATATTCAATTAAAGTTACATGAAAATTTGTTTCTGTTCTGGTTTTGGTATGTGTGAAATTAGTGTGTGGTTCTGAAGGTTTGTAACAGTGGTCTAGTATCATTATGTTAGATCTGAGGTTCTTGTGGCAGTGACTGTGATGCTTCTGGGATGTGACACCATGTAGTCAGGCAGAAATTTACCATCATTTCTGAGGAACATGATAAACTTCTTCCAGACTTCACAGCATCATCTCTCAGAAGACAGTAGTCTGAAGGAACGTTCTTGTCTGCATTATTCTACAACAGTTGTATGTATACCTATGTCTGGGATACAGTACACTAGTCTCATATTTCAGACTTTAAGTTGAAAACAATTTGAGGACTAAACTTGTACTTTAATTGTATCTTTTCATATTCCTTAACCTTAATGTTTTGGTTTGTTTCTATTTAATTCGAATTTTACAAATTACAGCAACATTCCTATGTGAAGAACCCATATTTTAACACTTTTTTAGAGCCATATATAAATATATATTGTAACAGTCTTGCTAGAACCCATAATTGTTTTCTCATTAGGAAGTTCATAGAATGAAGGTTGTGCTATATGCCTTTTATCATTGTGCACTAATCATAGTCTCTGTGCTAAGTAGCTCTTTTAAAATGATAGCAGACATTTCTTAAAAGAAATTTTTTTATCTATGCAACTTATATTTTCATGCAATTTCTTACATCTTTATTACATATTAGTACATTTTCATATTCTAGCTCCAACTGGAAAGAAATATTTTAAAGTTTTTGAAGCATGCAGTTTTGAGACTCAGAGATCTGTTAGCAAACCTTACAAAAGGGTTCTGCTTGGAAGATTAAGGCACAGATGGGATTGTAGAGGATTTGGGAAGATACATGAATTTGAATTGGGCTGATGTTGTATCTGTCTTCAGGTGCATGAGTTACCGCCAGAGAAGTTGAAGAATCGTGACGTGGTGCATATAGACATTGCTAATGATCCAGTAACTACGGCAGATTATAAACCTGATGAAGACCCAACGAAGTTTAAGAGTGAAAAGACAGGACGAGGACCTCTTATAGGGCAGTGGATGAACAAGGTACTGGTTGTTGGCAGTTTCTGTTTCAGGCTCAACAACACTGTCATGATATTTAAAAGTTCATTTCTTAATTTTATATGAATGGTTACTATGGAAAGAACTGGAATAGAGTTATGTTGCTGGTTTTAATCAAGAGCATTGGGATGTTTGTGTTGATTCTGTGTGTCCCTGAAAACATGTTACTGGTTCATTTGTAACTACACTTCATTAATTTGAAATGTTTGAGTCTAAAACATAAGAGCCCTTGGGTTAAATGAATCTGAATTATGCAGTTTTCACCACGGACAGTGTTGACTGCAGAATTTTATATGCTTCAGCATTTCTGTCTTCATCTTTCCTTTTTATTAGTTTGCCTAATTAGTTTACGTTTTTCTACCAGCATCTTTCTGTTATATTTCCTATTAGTGCTGGAACCATTTACATACTTTGTTACTGCTCCATACATGACAAGAAGAGCACATTTTACACTGCAGACATGTATACAGACTGACCTCTCATCCCATTTGCAGTCACTTAGAGTTATTTGCAATTTGACAGCCACTGTTTATTCCTTCTGTGTAAGTCAGTTTTCTCAAGGTCTACCTTATCTCCATATTTTAAAAATCTGGAGGGTGCGCACACTGTCAAAAGAGAGGTGCTCATAGTGCACTTATAATTGAAATTTTCAGTACTCATAACTTACTGCTTCAATTTATTCACATGAAAAAGCATAGAAAATTGTAGTTTCTTGGGTGGGAACTGATGGTTATACAGGGTTTTGAATTGTGCATTATCAAATTGATAAGATTCTCCTGTTATTTGATGGTTTTTATACTTTAAATTCCTAATTCCATGAAGTTATTTATAAATACAATGAGTTGGGATAGTGCAGTTGGTATAATGACTGGCTGTGTGCTGGATGGCTGATGAATTGGAAGTATGAGAACTGGTAGAGGCAAGATTTTTCTCTTCTCCACATCATCCAGACCAGCTCTGGGGCTCTCCCAGCCCCCTATCCAATGGGTACCGGGGGCTCTGGGGGTAAAGCAGCCCAAGCATGAAGCTGACCACTCCCAACTAATGCCACGGTCAAGAATATGTGGGTCTATACAGCCATTCCCCCATACGTCTTCCTGACCTAGTGCATAATTAGTTAAGCACAGGAACAACTTTACCTTTACCTTACCTTTTATTTATAAATGCATGTGGAAGCTGACATATATGTATCTTATTTTCAAAAGAAAGGTAGTGTTTACATTTAAGTCATTATTACATTCTCAGTATTCTGTAATAAACCATTCTCTTTGGTTTTTATTTGAGGATCTTGCAGTCAAACTTAAGTGTATTTTTGTGTAGGGCTCTCAGGGGCTCTGATCTCACATAAGCCCAGTCTAATGCATAGCCTGGTACATTACAAACATCCAAAACATCCATCAATCAGCAGTTTCTGTTGAAGGTGATTGGAGGTGCAAGTACATATTTCTTTGTGCATGTTCTCTAATGTAGACAGCATATCCAAACTGCGATTTGAACCAGCATGTATGTTGGCCATATATTTATTAACAGTATTTTTTAATCTTTTTATCATCTTTATAATTTATTTTTAAAAACTTTTACATTTTAATCATCTTTTATTTTTCATTTTTTGTGGTCATAAGTGCGGCTGGTTGTAAGTCGACGACCAAGTGTAATGTCTTCTGGAGTGTGACTCTGACATCACAATCTAGATGGCAGTACTCTTTATAATCGCTGCTGTGAGAACCTAAAACTTGACCTGGAATTTTTAAAGTTATATGAAGTAAATTTTCCATATTTGAAAAAAAGAAACCATCTCCTGGTATTAGGCGTCTGTGGGATATTTGTAATGGATTTGTAATTCTTTGATGATTGAAAGTTCAGAAGAAAATGTCAGTGTCAGAATATTTTAGGCATGTACTGATTGGTTGCTAGGAGGAAGTACAGAAGTTTGTCTCCTTTTATCTTTCTCTCTCATGTGGACATGAGGGAGGATTGGTGGCGTAAAATTGTGAGCTGAAATAGATTTTGTGTGACAGCAGGTGACACCAGTTTGAAACATATTTCTTCAGTAATGCTAGAATAAATTGAAAGTATTTTAATGATTTAGCTCTGATAAGATATTCAAGATTTGTAAAATATCAGTGAAAATGTGAGGGAATGTTTAGGAAGATCTCTAAAATTATGGAAATGTTAAGAGTTGTTTCTATAAAACACCACACTTTGTACAGCAGTGATTATGTGAGGAGCAGGCTGAAAGTTGTAACCAACAGGCATAAATTTTGATTTACTGTTTGCATAGCATTTCTGCAAGAATTGCATGAGATCTGGATCATTCAGCCAAAAGACGGAGAGTTTTTCATTGGATGTGTGAACAGTAGGATTCTTTACACCCAGCAACTACAGCAGCTTGTACCAACATTTTTGAACATACTAACTGTAATAAATATTTCAACGTGTTAGTACAAGCCACTGTAGTTGTTAAAAGGATTAGATTTGTACATATTAATATTCATAAAACATGTTGTAATAGTGGTTTCTAATTGCATTGATATCCTTCTGAAGATGGGCTATAGGACCGAAACATGTAAATGATAAAAGATTTAAAAGAAGAAACCATCAGTCACAATAGACAGAATTAATTAACCTTTTGTAATAATTTTATGCCACTAAGAAATTGATACACATCATTACACAGAATTAGTATCATTATCAAATATTGTTCTCTGGTATTATATTTATCAATATCAGTTGACATCCATAAAAAAATATGCAGTCGAACTGCTTCGTGTCTATATGTTGACTCTTTTTATAGTTGGTAGGTCTTCTGAAAAGATTTGATTGAAAGGTTAAGTGCTTGCTGTCATAAAATAAATTTTATTGTAGCAAATGGTTCTATGAAATGTCCTTGCAACAGGTGAATCCTGTCATGACGTGCTACAAACTGGTCACTGTTGAGTTCAAGTGGTTTGGACTGCAGTCAAGGATAGAAAATTTCATCCAGAAGTCAGAGCGACGCCTCTTCACAAATTTCCATAGGTATATGCTTTACACATTTTTTCATCATATCTTGTAGCAGATGGATCAGTGGTTTAGCACAGCATTGTGTATCTCTCATTTGTAAATTACCCGGTTCAAACAGGAGCTGTGCTGACATGTCTTTCATTATTTTCGTCGTTTCCTGCCAGGAAAGTGTCCATCCCTGCATTGCACAACTCTGATGGTACATGTTCTGGTTGAGCAGGCCTGGTACAAATCCCATTACCCAGAGTTCCCAAAACAGCTGGGGCACAAATCTAACCACTCACCTCTTATCTAGTGCTGAGGTCACAAATGGTGGAGCTATACCTCAACTCCCCCATACCTCTTCATGCTGTGGTGCTTAATTAATTACCTTTACCCATATTTTATCAAGTTCAATTCTGGATCCCAGTGTCATAGTAGGAAGATTTAAGTGCAGGTGATAAAAACTAACCTCTGTTGACCAAGTGTTTCAGTACTAAGACTGAATTAAAGTATGGCTGCTATTCTTAGAATATTGGGAGGGTTTTATGTCCTCAGATGATAAAGGTTAAATGAACAACAACCCCACTGACTTCATAATCATCCTGCATGTCTCTCATTTGGCATTGTTTAGCCTTGATAATTTACTCTGATGCAGATTAAATCTAAGAATGGTTTAGAGTGTTGAAGGAAATAATAATTCACATATCATGCAATTCCCTGATGTTCTGAAGTTTTGTCAGCAGTTAGTAGTTCCAGTTTCTGAAAGCATTGTCTCATCACTAACAGTAGATGACATTTTAAGTTAAGTGTGTGAGCCAGCATTTCCTCCAGCACCAAAGTGACTGTTAGTCTACCATGACCCTAATCCATTTATATCATGAGAAGAATGAGGACGATATTGGAGTACAAAGGCTATTTGAGGCACTTCCATGCCACATATATCCTGATGGAAAGCAGAATTAAGTAGAAAAATGCTCTGTGTGTCTTGTAGGCAAGTGTTCTGCTGGATTGACCGCTGGCATGGTCTCACCATGGAGGACATTAGAGCCATCGAGGATAGAACAAAAGAGGAGCTGGATAAGGTGAGCAGACTTCATTTCCTTGTCTTTATTTTATCCCAAGTGTTTTTCCTGCCACACATGGAGGAAAAAAGAAATGCATACAGCCTTTTGGTTGGATCATTCCTTAGGTGTAGAGGTGGAAGTAATATTAACCTCTTATTGCCCAGAAATAGTTCTAAATCTGCTGGTACTACAGGGATGGCAGCCATGTTTTAATTTGGGGGAGTAGTTTATCATCAAGGATTTATGTATTTCACTCCTGCAAGTTTGATGGCAGTATTTGAAAGTGAACTGAGGAGCGGGTCGGTGAAATAGGGCAACAAATCATTATCTCCCTCTGGTCAACCTTCTGGGGGCCTTTCTGACAGTTAAGGAGTACAGTGCAGTAAATAATTCATGATATCGTTATAATACAAACCAGTGGGTATATAATTAAATAAAGAATACGTGCAATAATGAGGGTGTAACATATACAGTGAGAGCTTGCATTTAAAACTGTGGTCACCAATCCTGATGTGGTTGGTAGATTACCGGACTAAAACCAAATTACAAGAACAATAAAATTAAGCAACAAATAATAGATTGGAAATTCACAGTCAGTCTAAGGGGTATGGCTAGATGAGAAATCACCAATGTGGGAACCTACCCGAGGTGAGTAAATCAACACAGAATTAGGTCACAACTGGGGTTTAAAATATCAGGCTGAACACAGTTTAAAACAACATACACTCACCCTATAGCCCGCAATCTGCAAGAGGTCTATCCTGCCCCTAGAACACTGCTGCAGCCAGAACAGTTACCAGCTCCAGTGGGGAGAAAGGAGGTGGGAAGAGGGAGAAAGGAAATCAGCAGGCAGGAAGATATGGTGAAAATCACAATGTGTACAGGAATGTGGCTACAGGCTGTTTCGGAAAATAGTATACTGGTCATATTTTTAACTATTTGCATTGAAAAGTGCAGTTCTCACCAGCTGGATTGTGCACTGAGCCAGCTCAGCTGATAGACATTGCGAGTCTCAGATTTTAAAGATTTAAATGAAAAAAAAAACTCAATTTGAATGTTAATTTTTTAATTTCAAGCTTCAAGAATTTTCTGATAATTGAATTTGCTTTGCAAATCAGGGTCCTGTCAGAAGAAATCAGTAACATATTTGCCTGAATTGAAGATACATGTTTTCCCTCTTTTAAGAATTACAAAATTACAGGCCCTTGTCATGAATTTGAAACCTATATATAGTAGATGTTTTTATTCTGTTTTAAGCTCCTAATGTGTTCATGGCATAGTCTGTACCATCATGCTGAGTGAGTGTGTAGGACTTCACTGGATTATGGACATATGACCCACAATACAGCAGCCAATAAAATATTGTATGTAACAAACTACAGAAATGAAGGCCATGATCGCACTGTTCTGTCTACTCAAGAAGACAACTTATTCTGCGTTAACTATTTAGTGTTAATTTATGTTTATGATTTTGTAGTCATAATGTATGCTCAAACGAACTAGGTACACTTGATGGACTTCTAATTTATTCCAGAGTTTGATTTGCAATGGTTATGTTGGGATTTCCTGTACATAACCACATGCAAAGAGACTTAGGTCCATCAAACCTTCCAGAATACCAGATGTTTCTTTCAGAGCAATAAAGGTGTGAGGAGCATGAATCTGTGTCTGTTTAGTGCCTGGTGAATTCCATTTTCTTCATCTTTTCTCACAAAAAGAAAATTTTTGCAAGGGTTTTTTGCCTCTGATATATCATTAAGAATATGACACATTTGTGAATTAATGTTAAAATAAATATTAAATTTCAGCAAACTGATTGGTATGTCTCACCATATACCACCTTTTCAATTATTGGGGTTAAATCCCTGTTGTGCTACGGGGCATATAGAGAGGCTTAAATTTTCCACTTGCGTTTGGTCGCATTGATAAATATTGGTATGTTTTCTTCATTGTACAGTAACAAGCACTGATTTATATGTATGTGTTACAGCAACGTATGGTTGGTGAGGTCCGTGGCATGAAGGCTGAAACAGATTGAACAGGATGCTCACACTGCCCCCCTGCTCCCCACCTACCCATCGTTCACATCACATGCCATGCTTCATACCTTCGCATCTACTGCTGGGGTGCCAAACACAAAATCCTTATACACCCACTGTATTAGAAGCATCCACTTTTCAGTTGTTTAATTGCTTTCCGAATATACACTGGATTATGTTTTGGGAAGAAATCTAAATTCCCTATGAACTGAAATAAAACAAGCTTTCCATATTCGTTCAAAACAGTTTTTTTACTTGTATTTCTCATTCTTGACTGGGCTTTTTTGTGTCAGTTTTTTATCAGTACTTTCTCTTCCAGGCAGAAATAGGCATTTGCACCAAGTGTGAGGAGAGGAGGTATTTCTAATTCTTGATTTTCAAAATCCTTAACTAGTTTTACAATTATGTACAGTATTTTGACAGTGGGCAAAGAGTACCACTAACATTATGCTGGAAATGCATTTTCACAAGTTCCATAATTTCGTGGAAGTTAATGTAATCATGGAGCGGTTGTTTTGTACTTTTTTTTCTCCTGAACATACACTTTTATATAGGGAATAGTATGTATATATTTAAATACTGTTATTGTGTAACTGTTATACATTTTGTTAATCTCTCATGAATCCATGACCTTGCAGCTGTAATGAAACTTATTATGGAGAAGAGTTGTCTGTTATGAGGCTGCTTTTGAGACCAAATCCTGTTTGATAGGAGAATTATGAGATCACTTTCCTTCATCATTAATACTGTAAAAACATTTTTTATGCTTTAAAAAAACCCATGTCCATTTGCAGCTGTAGCGACAGTGCCAGCATGTTTCTACTAATAATACCCTCAAGCTAACTGATATGTTGCCTCCTTGCTATATCAGAGCCAGTTGGCTGTCACTTAACAGTTGCTCTCCATGATTCATTATGTGATTATTTCAGTTCCACAGCCTTGTTCATGACACCAAGGCCTTATCAGTGGGGGGAAGTTATATGAATGAGAGATTATCATAAAATTACATACATGAAAGGAAACAATTACAGTGTATCATGGTGTACGTACTTATTTATTGTTAGACTGTAGAACTACTCATCCACAAGTTTAAAAATTCTTTTGGAGCCGTCATACAGAACATATGGAACATAACTTGCTACCTCTAAGTCCCACCTCTCCATCACAGCTGATTACTGTCTATATATTTACTGCTTCTGCCTTAAAGCAGATTTAATTTCCTCCTATCTTAAATATGCATTTTTATTCAATAATGTAATTAACAGTAAAGCCGGCAATGATGATTTGTGCAATGAAATACACTGCATGAAAAATTATTGGGCATACTAATTAGACTTCATATCCCTTTTCTGCACAAAGAACATATATGGAATTCTTAATTTTTAAGCTTTTTCTTTTTGTTCCCTTTTGCCATTATTTATCTGTGGTTCATTTACAGATGAATAGTCAGTGGTCTGTAAATTTAAAACATACGTATACTCTATTCTCCCCGTGATTCAATAAATCCAGTACCCTGAATAGCCAGAACACTTAGTAAAAACATAAAATAGAATCAGTATTAATGTGGATACTCAGTGTCATCAGTTTCTTTTCAAGTTCAGTGCAGTTTGCATGCTGTTGAAAGTACAGAGAGAATAGTAAAGGAAATTGGCATGAGCTGAACTGTATAAAATATCAGCAGTTGGCACATTTTCTTAATGTAAAAATGTGATGAAATAAAAGAGGAAAGGAAGGAATGCACAAGGATGAGAATTAGCTTAGGGGGCAAACTTCATTGTTAACTGTCAGTTACTTTATGAAATAGTAATGAGATAAGAACATGCAGAATATTGTACAATAATTTCTTCTATTGGTGTTTTAGAAAGTGTTTGTGTAAGACATGTACTGTAGGAACAAAACTAACTGGTATTGATTTTGTAATGTTTCCTGCAAAATTAAAAGGAAAATCCTTCATTATACTTAAAGGTATGCAGAAAATGAGTTTTAAATGCTATAGTACAGTATCCTTCTGTCCTTGGCCTAGTCAAGGTGTTGGTTGGCAGCCAAGGAACCACTGGAAGCAGTCAAATAAAATCATTCCATAAATATTAGCATAATGCTTCATTTAATTCTACTCTTCTCAAGTGACAGTATAACAATTTTATTTAAGGAACCCCATAATACAGATAAATGAAATTAAACATTCTGTAGTTCTGATGTCTATGAAATTGAGAACAGAATACTGTTGCCACAAGGAGGAATGGAGAGCTCAAGAGGCATATAAAACTAAATGACAGAGGCCATATAACAAAGAGCCTACAAATAAAAAATATGGAAAAAGAAACTAAAGTTTTCATTTGCCACTAAATCCATTGTGTAGATGAAAATTTCACTTTCCATTATGCCTTAACTTCCCCGTCTTCCTGTTAAATGTGGCTGTTTTAGATTGCTGTAAATAAAATAAATGTGAAGGTGCCTCATGGTATGAGCTGTACTACACTTACATACATATTTGTGTGAATTAACAAATGGTGTAGTAACATCAATTGTCTTGAAGACACAGTAATTATGTGTGGCTTTACTTCTGTAAAATCTATATATTGTATTTTGTCACACCAATCTTTATGGTTTCTGTTCCTATAGACATCATCTTCAGTCCTGGCACCATCTATATAATATAAGAAATGAAGCAAAGTTTACCATTCCATAACATTTATCTGTGCCTGTGGTTCATACAGCTAAGTTCTCAAATTTGGAAACCTAAACCAATATAGCATTGATCTAGTCAATGTGTCAAAAACTAGGATTTCAACAGATACAGTAATAAAATAATGATGTATGTAGTGAAACCAATTAACATTTAAATTAATTGGTGTAATTATTTGCACATGTATATAAATTAGAACATACATAGATAGTGATGTATGGCACCAGAAGATCACTAAACGTCCCTTGGGGTAATTGTGTGATGTCAGAGTAAGGGAAATGAATGAATAATTATTGATATGTATAACGGGCAGTGATGCCTTAAGCAGTGTTGTTAATTATTATTAGTATTATTATTATTATTATAAAAGTAAATAGAGTTTCTGTGCTAATAAATTTGAAGATGATGAGAATGATGTTTAAGAGCTGTATCTTTCTGCCCAAGCAACTACCTTTCTATATCAGTTTCCCAGCACTCTTAAGTATTGTATGAAAGCCAGAGATCAGGAAATGGGTGTTTTACAAATGGACCCCATGTCACCACAACATGGGGTAAAAGGTAAAGCTAGCCCTGCAACAGGTCCTGGAGGCCCATAGGTTTGTGAGACAGGATTTACGAGATTACATGTAATTAGTAATGATTAGTAATTATTAGTAATTAATAATTAGTAAATTAGTAATGATTCCAGTAGTAAACACTGTCACATCCAAAAGTCTACTTGTTAAGAGTACGATGTTTTTATATGATAGCCTTCATAAATTCACTTGAACATCTCCTGATGGAGACAGATTGTTTACATTTTGATAGGCGGCAGCATTGAAGTATACATCATGCCTAATCTTTTGGAAGAGCTGACTGGTACCGATCACTATCTGGTGGTTGCAAAAGTTAGGGAAACTGTCAGTAAACAAGCAAGTAATGCAGAAGTTTGATATGGAGAAAAATTAAGTGAGACAGAAGGTAAAGAATGGTCTCAGATTAAAATCTGAAACAAGTTCACAGCTTTGGAAATCTTAGGTGGTAGTTACAGTGGCGACGTTGTGAACATCAACAGAGCTTAGTGAACTCTTAGACAAATACCAAGATTTCAGCCAAAGACAGCCTTTGTTATTACAAACTGAAACACCGTCAGTCACAGTCTGACAAAGAACATGCAAGACTGCTTGAAGGAAACAAGCCAAAATGCAGATAACCTGAACAGGGTAAGTCTCAAAGCTAGACAATGACAACTACCTCCAGATGAGACCCTGGTACCCACTTGATAGGAGGCTGAGTAGGCCCCAGAGGTGGTCTGGACATTGTAGAGACAAGAAAGAATCTCTTTCCCTGCCAAGAATCAAACTTCAGCCATCCAGTCTGTAGCCTGTTGCTATACTGATGCGCTATCCTGACTCCAAGAACAGAGCTGAGAAAAACGATCTACATGATCCATACACTTTGCATAGAATAGAAATCAAGGCGTTTCACATGATCATTTGTAATGTATAAGAGCGGAATTATGCAGTAAATGGAGAACATTACTTTTTGACACGAATTAAAGCTGAATTTCACTTCAATAGAACTGAGTAATACTGGTTTTAATTCCATTTCATCTTTGCTTATTTTAACATATTTCCTCTTTCATACTTGATTTAGTTTCATGCTCAATACTTTTAGAATAGTGTTTTAGTTACTCTTGTTGTGATTCAAAGACTTGAAACTACACAAGACTCAATGTAATCATATTTCTCATTCATTTAACTGTATCCATACTCCTTAATAATATTTGAGGCTATGACAAGCCGCTGAATTTCGGACGTTCCCTCGTATATCTCAGTGATGCGTGCATCCCTGTAGTGGCGCTCAGCAGGCATATCAGTGACATAACCCATACCTCCCAACACCTGGATGCACTGGTGAGCTGAATATGTTGCTGCTTCTGATGCAGCCAATTTGGCCATTGCGGCTTCCTGGAAAGCAATGATTATAGTAAAATTCCAAACTATTTTTCCTTAATTCCCAGAAACATAAATTTTAAAGAAATATAATCAGCATAACCCTCTTTCAGCATCCCCACTTAATATGATTTTCATGACTGACCAAAGTACCATACAAAGACCGCTATTTCCCATCTATGGTGTTTGCAGTTATCACGGTCAACTGCTTATAGCACTTATCGTATCTTGTCTGTACTCGACTTTATTTCCTCATAAAATGTTCCAATCAAGGTATCAATCTTCTGTTTACATTTCTCAAAATTGTTATGATGCAGTTCATCTCTGGAGGACCTCTTAGTAAGAATTCCTGTCTCATTTCAGTTTCTGTTTCCAACACAGACCTTTATGATAAGGAGGTAATCCAGCTGACTGAACTGAAGTGAAATGTAATTGTATCAGCTGTTTTCACAATTCTGTTCAAGCCTTACAAGTATGCACCACGCTTACTTGTGGTAACTATCTTTCAAAACTTGCTCCATCAAACATTCTTTGACTACTCATAGTTTCATGTCCATCCCTTTCCCATATGCATCTCATGAGTGGTTTGTGCTGTTCAGGCTGTAGAAGGATATTGTTTGAGTGAGTGATTCACTCCCTGTTGTCTAAAAATATCTTCATAAAAAATCATTATTTTAGTTATTTTCAGTCAAGTTAGTGATGAAGTGTGCTTTACTTAGCATAGTCATAAACATAACACTAAATGAACAGCGTGTGCACATCATGAAAGTGCACAGGTATGGAAACAATTCATGTGATAAGGTTGGAAATCAAGAGGCAAATATAGCACAGCTGAATAAGGTAAGGTACTGAAAGTCAGATCTTTTGTCTGGTGTAAACGTGATGATAATGCTTCAGGTACCATACAAGGCAGGGAATTTCTGATTGGCTAAGTGACTATCAGCTTCTCAATTACTGTGCTCCAGGGAGCATCTCTTTTTCAGTATTCACAATGAATTTTTGCTGTAACAAACATGCCATGCTGTACAAGTTTTCAGCCACGCTCACAGTCCCTCCCTCCCCTTGCACAGAAAGTGACCATCTTTGCACCATATTTATTCTTACATGCTGTACTCACAGCTTTAGTTATCTCAATGTAGTCTGCTCTCCATCGTGATTTCCAAGCTACATTCATTACAATTAAAACTAATTACAATAAACAAATACATTTATTTCATATCATTATATCCGTAATTACTGCCCTTAAGTTAATGGGAAATTTGTTTATAACAATTCTGATAAATGACTGACTTTCAAAACAAAGTCTTGACATGAATCAGGGTGCCTCAGGCATGCTTTGAAATTTCTATAACAACACAGACTGAGGGTATTTGAGAACACGGTGCTTAGAAAATTTGGACCAAAAAGAGATGAAGTGATGGGAAATAGGAGAAAACTGCATAGTTAGGAGCTTCATAACTTGTATTCCTCATCAAGTATAATTAGGATGATCAAGTCAGGGATGAGATTGGCAGAGCATGTAGCACAAACTGGGGCAAAATAGGAATGCATACAGAATATTGGTGGGAAAGCCATATGGGAAGAGACCACTAGTTAGTTTAGTTAGTTAGCATTCTATATAGCAAACAATATGATTTTCTGCATATAATATTTTCCCAGTTTTAGTGTTTAACATTCTTGGAATCCGGTAAATCAGTGAATGGGATCTGACTGCACAACTATAATTATACATATTATAATCAATATTAGAAGCTGAAATATCAAATAAATCAGTCATAGGCTCATAGAACAGTAAATGTTGAAGAGAATTTTTCAAATGCAATACCTTTGAGAAGGGCTTCCCTGAATCCTTGAGAGCAGCAGCACGCCATGTTAGAAGTCTTGCACTCTCGATCTGTAGCGCCATGTTAGCAATCTTTGTCTGAAACAAACAACACACTTGTCTAATGAATTTACTTACCTCTGTTCATAAAGATTAATAATAATGCAAAAAATAAAACATTCTGAAACACAAAATTAGTTAACCTTTCAAGGACTCAACTACAGTGTACAGTGCACAAGACAAACCTCATTTAAATTTGCATAATTTTATCATGAGATGGAGTTACCTGGTAGCAGACCCTCATGAACATAGTAATGAACCTTCTGGTTGTATAAAAGACATGGAATATCTTCAGTGGCTGAGCAACTGTTAGCTTCTCATGAAGGGTTCTGCTCCATGGAGTTGTTCAGAGAAGATATGCATTGCACAGACATTACAGGTAAGGACTGTTACAGTTCAAAGTAACAACAGATAAAGGGAGCAGCTGTGGTTTTCTAAAAATTTCCACTAACTGTGGACCCTACCAAACTTCACCTTACACTACACCTACCTGTATCCTCAAAGTTTATAGCTGTATTATAAAACTGAGCAATAACTTAACTGGCTTCAAAGAGAAATACACTCAACTCTCAATTATTCGGGGGTGGATAAACCGGTTTGTGGCTTAACCGGGGCTTTTTTTGAGGCTTATATGTTGTTTAATATTCATTCACTTTTGTTTCACACGGTGAGTTGTAACACTATTTTCGCACTAGTGTGAACCGAGCTCTGCATTTTTTGGTCCCGTTATGCTAACACAGTGTTCTAGGGTAGGGGGTGAAAGAATGCAAGGATTTGTGGAAAGCTTCAAGGACAGATACACCTCCCCAGTTAGTCTCTTTGTATTGATCTTCAAGTGCGTTAGCAAAGTGTCAGGGTGTAAAAGGAAGCGTGTTGTATTAAGTATTCAACAGAAACTTGAAATTATCAATCAGTTGGGAAAAAGAGGTGTAGTTAAACAATTAGCAATGCAATACGGTATTGGAGAAGAAACTGTTCGTGATTTGAAAAAACAAAAGAATCAATCCATGGATTCACTGGATTCAGTGAAAATGAGATAGCCATAGAATTGACAAAATTGGCTAACCAAGTTCATGGTGGTGAATAAGGCAACGAGGATAATATAAGATAGTGGTTTGACTGTGATTCATGTGAGCCGGGCTTCGAAATGTTACGAAATCGTAAGTTCACTGGGGGTGCAGACAGAAGAGCGGGAAGAAAGTGAGAATGAGGAAGAGGTGGACAGTGCTGCTAGTAAGACAATATCACATGGTTCTGCTCTTAATCATCTGAAATCCTTACTAGACTATCTTGAGAGTGAAGAGAAGAGTTTATTAAGTGACAAGCTAATATTATGTAGGCTTCGTACGGATATCCGTAAAAAGGAAAATGCCGCGAAAAAGCAAATGACAATATTAAATTTTTTTAAGTGTTAAGTGTGAATATTCGTAAAAAGTGTTGGATGTTGTTGAACACTGTGATTGAAATAACTAATTCATACTTCAGTGTAATGTAAAAAAAGTATTAAATAGGCAATGAGATGACATAAAAATGAGGTTGAATAAATTTAAATACAGGTAGGCCTATAGTATTACGAAGGTACAGTATTACAGTACTACTTTTAATAAAATTTGTCTTAACCGGGTTTTCGATTAATCGTGATTTCCATCCCCACCATTATCCCGGATAATTGAAAGTTGAGTGTAATATGATTAATTTTTAGCAATGCTAGTATTACCAATTGTATTGTAATGAAGACACCCATTACTAGGCAATGGCACTGTAAACACATGGCTATAACAATACGCAACAAGAATGAAAGGTGTTTCCATGGGATCTGTGCCAAGTCTATATAATGATTCCGTCTGTAGCAAAGAGATTAGAGAGAACTGCATTAGAGAATTGGAACTGAGAGTTCAAGAGAATAGGAATACAATGAGGTTCCCAGAATAACTTGAGTCAGTTGAGAATCAGTCCAGGAGATTTCAGTCAAGAGAGATTCTTCAGAGAGTCAGAATTCAAAGGGCACTTCAGTAGTTGAGTATTCAGCTGTGAAGTAGTAACCAGGTAAGATTCGTTACCAAGCAATGACTAGCAAGCAGACATTGAAAGCTTTGTGTACTATAGTTACAGTAATCTTTAGTGTGTTATTATATAATTACTTGTGAGCCTCCAATAAATCTATTCATCTAATCCATAACCCATTATTATTAGTCAGCTAACCTGGAATTAGTGACAGTACTGTACTGCATTCACAAATTACATAACATGAATAGATTATATATAACCTGTATGGTTTGCAGTTTGAGAATGGGAGACCCAAAGGCATTTCGTTTGGAGGCATACTCAACAGCACAGTCCAGTGCGGCCTGAGCAATTCCTAATGCCTGGGAAGCAATACCAATCCGACCAGCATCTGTGAATCATACGACACCTTCAATTCATATAAAGTATATTCATAATTAATGAATAATAACTTTATGTCAGTGCTACTGCAGGCAAGAGCTTTTATTGGTACAGGGTGAATCATTTCAATTGTTGGGGTTCAAGAATGACAGGGCTAACAGTAAATAAACTATATTTGCTCCATATCCAATTGATCTGTCATTCTGGTTCGTTAAATACAACATGACCAAAGATCCACTAGTCACTGCAATTAGGCATTTCAAAGTTGGTAGAAATGGCTAATAAGCATATTCTACAAATTTGGTATGAAACATTCCTTTTTTTATAATAAAAGTTAAACATGGTGATAGTGAAAATCTTACATGACTTTAAAATGCATGAAAATCTATATCAGTGGTAATTATGCACAAAAATGGAACACCAAAATTTATAATCTTCAATTTATAGCTCCTGTCAGTCTCTCTGGAGCTGATGGAAAACAGGAATCAGAACTTCTTCCCAGAATGTTTTACTTGTACTTGTAGTATTACTGGAACCTATCACTGAAACCATTAAAACCTCTGCTCTATATACAGAAACAACAGGTGATATGACGTGACCTGTGGAATAAAAGTAGTGCAGCATGCATATCAACAATCAACAGGACAAAAAAAAAATACTGCACCGAGTAAAACGTAAAGCTATCCCTGTAACAGGCCGTGAAGGCCCAGTGGGTTGTGAGACATTCACACTTCCACATTTTCTAGACACTTGGCTCACAGACGGTGGTGAGGTTGTCAGCCTTACGTGCTGGACACTCTTTACACCCCAGAAGATTTATGGTCCTCATTTCTGTTAGAGGCTGGGCCATAGTGCAGCTGGAAGCATTAGGTCAATTGAAAAATCCAATGACCTCATCAAGAATCCAACTCACGACCTTCAGGCTTGTAGTATAATGCCTCAACCATGCTACCACACGCCCTCTCATTGGGTAAGGACAATGCCTTCTTTCATGTACATCCAGTCAAATTATGTTTTGTTTCTACATCTACAATAATGGTCCACATCACTTTCCATTATCTGAACAACCAACCTCTAAATAAAATTGTTTGCAACTCCCACCCTAAACTGAAGGAAGAAAATTACGTTATGAGTGACTTCTTATGTTGTTTGTTGTCTAATATGATGACTAAATAAAAAAGTATGGTATGGACAATATATGTAGAATGCACAGGGAAAACAAAAATTCATACAAAATTTTGGTCAGATAGCTTGAAGGAATTTCACCAACTGGGAGACCTTAACATATATGATGGGAGGATATGACTGAAATGATATCTTGGAGAAATGGGTTATGAAGATATTAACTGGGTTGAAATGGTTTGCGAGAGTTCTACAGTGAACTTCAGAATTCACAAACGAAATTTCTTGACCTGATGAATGCTTGAAAAAGAATGGAATTAATCAGCTTACCCAGTGACATCATGGCGATCTTGAAACCCAAGCCAGGCTCTCCCAAAAGGTTGTCTTTTGGTATGCTACAATCTTCAAATATGAGACTGCATGTTGATGATCCACGGATACCAAGTTTATCTTCTTTCTTACCTAATGACAAGCCTGTCAAATGATGAACAAATTATTAGATCTTACAGTGAACACAGAATGGTTGTCAGGCTGAGGAAGCATTCCAAATACTTGGTCACCACACCAGGTATGAGACAACCAAAGGGCCCTCAGAACAAGTGTCTGTAGAGACCTACAGGACTGGGGCAGAAAACAGTACAGGCTGGCAACAGGATTGTTAACTGGCCAATGTAATCTGAGATGGCATCTACGTATTATGGGCCTCTTGTATAATGCCACATGCAGGAAATGTGGACAGAAGGAAGAATCCTCCTACCATATCCTCTGTCAGTGCCCAGCTCTGACTGGACATAAAATGAAAATCTTCAGTTCTGCTGTTGCAGAGGCAACAGATATTAGTAGAGCCCCATTCAAATAGGATCTGGCCCTAGTGTCTATGATAGGGCTCTTTTGAAGGACTATAGTGGTAATAGGTGCACAGCGCATCCAATTCTGATCTGAGTGGTAGGGGTTACCCAAGGTTGTCCCCCATGTCAATACCCTATACTTGGCCTTCATGTAAAATAACTATTTCCTCCAATGAAGACAAGGTGAGGAAATTAAACACGGCTAGTCCATTTGTACTGTACCAGCTGCAAGCATCAGCATAATTTCAGGACAAATCTCAGCATTGGTCTTGAGACTCAAGCTTAATGTGTCTTCAAATGAACAGTAGAATAATGAACGTCAGTTCTATCTACCACTTCTCTTCTCTGCATTGAAGGACAGAAATATTTTAAAAGTTAATTCATCATGGAATTACAGTTTATTTTGAATTATCACAACTGAGTGAAAATGTGACAGGGATTATACCTGTGGCAGATTTTGGCACAATAAAAGCACTGATTCCTTTGTGTTTCTTGGATGTGTCTGTAGTAGCAAAGACAACAGAGGCTTCCGCTTCATAACCATTAGTAATCCAAGATTTCGTTCCACTTAATGTCCATCCATCATCACTGGGTCGTGCCACAGTAGATGCTGCCCCTGCATCACTTCCATTACCTGTAAGGGAGTTGTGTGGTTAGCCATCAGAGTTTCTTCACTGTGACAATTTTCTACTGCTTGCAATGGCAGCTATTCACAATCTTGTCTGATTCACAGGATAACAAAACAGCAGCAGTTTCTTGTTAAGACTGATAGGTACCCTATCTGTTTAGCATAACACAATAAAAAGTCTGTAAATATAATCATTACTTGTATATCTAAACATGTTTATTCACATTATAAAGATTAACACCTTTATGTGATATTATAACAGAAATGTCAAATCACCCATATTGAACATTTATTCTTAGTGGGAGACTAATTCCACTTGGCACTGCAGCCACTATGGGCCTATTGTACCAGCTCCAGATGATAAGACAATGCTGACTGTGGAGCAACTGGTGGAATGAAGATTGGCAAGGGAAACCGAAATACTCGCAGAAAACCTGACCCAGTGCCACTTTGTCCACCATAAATTCCACATGACCTCACCCTGGCTCAAACCTGGGCCGCCACAGTGGGAATCCGGCAACTAACTGCCTGAGCTATGGCATGGCCTTTGAAAATTCATAATTAAAACCTAATGAGGGCATTCGAAATACTTAAAAGTTGTCAGATATCTCCATCTTCCAAGGATCTAGGTTTTGTAACACAGCTGAGCCTCCCAATTTCTGTGCAGTGTGCAGACCAACCCCAGAAGTTCATGTATGCTTCCTCACCTCTTGGCTGGCCACACCATTAAATGCAGCAAACAGAGGAGAGGGAAAAAATCAGTTATATTCAGTACAAGCTATTCGACTATTAAATGGAAATTAAAAGTTGTAAAATGTAACTTTTTTTAGTTATGCTAACTAGAAACTACAGACCAGCATAAATTAATCATCAACCCAGCAGTGGTCTATAGACCACCGAATAAGATAAACTCTTTAAGGCATTTGATTTACCTCAATCCAACACAAAAGCAAGTAAACATAAAAAATTTACAGCAACTTCCAATATCCAATGTGTATCTAATATACAAGTCAGAAATACATAAAATAAAAACTTGTTTATATGAATCGGGGAGAACATGACACGAAGCTCAAATTATTTATAAAACTCTTCAATACATAATTCATATTCAAAATATTATAAATATATCAGACCACGTAATAATAAACACAAGATCGACAATGAAGCTCTCCTATGCTGTGGATGACTTCTTTCAGAGGTTCACTCACTCACTTCAAAGCCTTTAATGAAGTTTCTGCTTATTCATTTTCCAACAGCAGAAAAGCTCACTGATGTTCAATGGGCAATAACTTCTCTTGTACCTTCATCTTTCATCCCCTTCTTCCATTCTCTTTTATTCCGTTCATACCATTATCTCATCCCCTCCTTTCTCCCTTAAAGCAATGAATGAATTTACATTTTTATTTTTCATACCGCACAGTTTTGAAAATAGAGCTGACACCTGCATAAATATGAGGGTTGTACTGAAAGTCATGAGCAACAATTTCTTGTAACGTAACATGCTTTATTATTGACAAACCAAATACACCTCAATCAACAGACCTTTCTTTATTTTTCCACATAATCGCTACTTCTTTGTATACATTTCTCCCAGCGTTCTGGGAGTTTGAAAATTCCTCTTCTGTAAAATTCCGTTCCAGCCATCCGAAGACACTGACGCACTGCTTTCTGAATTGCCTCCCTTGTCTCAAAACGTTGTCCACGCAGCTGATCCTTCACAAATCCAAAAAGATGGTAGTCAGAGGGTGCCAGATCAGGGCTATAGGAGGGGTTGGAAGAACTTCCCACCCTATCTTCGAAATCGCTTCCAATGTGGGGCGACCGTTGTCATGCAGGATGATGATCTTTCGCCCTGGACGTTTATTGTGCAATGTACGACGGAGCTTGTACAGCATCTGGACATAACGAGCAGCATTGATGGTTTGCCCAGGTTCCAGGAATTCGGTCAGAATAAACCCCTCTGCATCCCAGAAGACTGTGCCCATCACCTTCACAGCTGATGGCACTGTCTTTGCCTTCTTTTTTGAGGGAGAATGCAAATGGTGCCATTCCACACTCTGCTGTTTCATTTCAGGCTTGAAATTGTGAAACCAGCTTTCGTCACCTGTCATAATACAGAGCAAAAAATCATTGCTTTTGTGTCAATATCTCTGCAGCAGTTCTGAGGTGATGGCTTTTTGCTGACCTTCGTGGTCTTTGGTCAATAACCGCGGGACCCAACGAGCACAAACTTTCCTATAGCCCAAGCTTTCAATCATCTCCTGTACTGCACTGTGCCCTATTCCAAGTTTTCGGGCTATTGTGTCCACAGCCACATGCCTCTCATCTTGAATGATCTCATCCACTCTTTCCTTGTTGCGTTCAGTTGAGGCTGTTCGAGGACAACCGCTCCGAGGCTCATCTTCGATGGTGTTCCCATCTTTAAAATGTTTCACCCATTTTCAAACACTGCTCGCACCCATGCACACACTTCCATAAGCATGCTAGAGTCTCCAGTGAATTTCTTCTTACACAAGAAATTCAATGACAGCATGCTGGTGAAATGACATATCGCTGTTGGCCATTTTGTTAAGAGTGATACTGGTCACTTGACGCAAGATATTGACGTCACAAGACACTCAAGGTTAACACAACAGCTAGTTCCACCTACCACTGTACTCTCTTTCATCTGCTGTTCCCAGGTTGCATGCAAAAAAAAGTTGCTCATGACTTTTGGTACGACCTACATACATCAAAATTATTATGGCACAACATGTGCGCACACGCTCATGCTCGCTCGCTCTCACACACACACACACACACACACACAGAGTCATAAACTGTTTCTGATTGTAAGCATACATATATACATTATACACTTCTGCTCCTTTTAAGTTGCTACTTCATGATACTATCTGCATGAGGCTGTGCAGACAAGATAACAGTGATTAATGAATGTGGAGGAACAGGTGTCAATCGAATGGCTATTCCCAGGCAATTCAATCAATACCAGGTTGAAGGAGCACCATCAGCATATCTGGCTACAAAATTTGAATAAGTCAGCCATGGTGAAGCACACCATCAACATGATACACTATATTCCATAACACCATCTTCTCCACCAAACCCTGATACATGGATCATACCATTAGGGAGGCGACACTACTTGACCTCCAAACCAATAACATGAAGAGGGAGGATGGCTTCTGTCTAAGCAAGTTATGAAAACCTCTCACTGGCTCCCTTAAAAATTGCTGGAAACAACTCTTATAGACGGGTCCTCCACCAGGCCACATAGGTTCACGCACACTGCCGTTTTCTGGACACTGACTCTGCCCTCTCCAAGCATCCATCAACCCTGAACCTTTCTTTCTTTTCCTGGCTTCCTGTCTGCTGCTGTTGATTGTTCTTATCTCCTGCTGCATGCCTACAACCAATGTGAAGGATGTTACTTCAATCCTGCTCATTTCTCTGCCCACTACACATACTTACGACTTCTACTCCGTGTTCCCATGAGGCATGCGGTACCGTTGAGGCACTATGCTACAAGCCGGAAGGTCGCGGGATCGAATCCCGATGAGATCATTGGATTTTTTTCACTTGACCTAATCTTTCCAGCCGCACTATGGGCCTGTGGTCGACTCAGCCTCTAACAGAAATGAGTACCAGGAATTAATTAAATAATTTTCCTGGGGAGTAGAGCGCGGCCTGTGTGTAAGGCTGACAACCTTACCGCCATCTCTGAGCTGATTGTCTAGATAATGTGGGACCCTCAACGTCTCATAACCCTATGGGCCTTCACGCCTGGTACAGGGATAGCTTTAATTTTACTTTTCTTTTACTCCATGTTCCCATGTTTGCAAGTGGCACAAGCAGCTCTCTCCATAACTCACCTTAGTTAATCTTCTTGTCTCCTATTGGTTCACTCTGTTCTCAGAGGGAGTCAACAGGAGATGAATAGTTGTCTTGCACATTCCTATTTTCCCATCTCCTGCTCAGTCAAGTGGTTACTTTCCAAAAAGGTTTCCACCTCAAACTTTTGCATGCTGTTATATATCCTGTACATACGAGATGCCTAGCAACTCCACTCAAACAATAAAAATCCACGCAAAACACACCATAACATACTTCCATTAAAGAAAGGCCTATTTGCTACAGGTCATCTGATTCCAGAGAAGGCCATTCCTTATTAAAATAAATAAAAATACAACTTAGAATGGAATTATTTAGAAAGATACTAAATTTTAGAGGTATGTTATAATAAAGGGATATGAGATTCATGCGTAATTAGGCTATAACATGACTGTAATTAAAAAATGACGTATGGAAATTGCATTACTAATTAAGTATGGTAAGAGTACATATGTAACTGATGCCACACACAGCATTAAAAAAGCAATTTTATGCCTAGGAAATGATGCTGACCATAGAAGCAAAGAAGTTCTTACAGTCTTGGCAGACAAATTGAAATACTCATAAAGCCAATTCTATATATACATACATACAAACATCAGCGTTTCAGAGTATTCATAAGTGTGCAACTGGCACTGAATATAAAACTTGTCAAACAACAGTCATATGCCTTTTGCATATACATTTCTTATTGGAATTTCAGGTCATATCTAACATATTCTTGTTTATTTCCCATTAGGGTACACTGTCAAGGTAACTAATGGCATCAGGCATACATAGACACCACATTATTTTGCTGCTGAATATGCCTGAATTTAACAGGCAGCACATATGGATAGTTCACTCAAAGACAACCCACTGAAAGCCATTCCTTATTAGAAATAAAACACTGCTTGCTTATTAATGACCTGCCACATAACGTATGTCCATTCATCACTTGACAATGCATTGCTATGGTAACATGAAATTACGTTATTTTAGAGCTTTAACTCACTGTTATGTAACTTTTTTTTATATATAGTGAAAGATATGATGTAACAGCTGTACTTCCATGCAAGGAAGTCATTAAATCTGGCACGCTGAAATCAGCTTCATGGAAGATTTACTGTATGTTCTTAGTACCTGGTTCACTGAGAGCAAAGCATCCAATTTGTTCACCAGCAGCAAATGGGGGAATGAAAGTTTCCTTCTGTTTCTCTGTTCCAAACTTAAGTATAGGACCCAGATACAGAGAGTTATTAACACTCATGATGACGCCTGTAGATGCACATCCTCTAGAAATTTCCTCCATTGCTATAGAATACGCAAGATAATCCAGCCCTGAACCTCCCAGGTTCTCTGGAACATCCACGGCCATCAAGCCTAGCTCACCCATTTTTCGGATCTGCAGATAGGCAATTAAATAAAATATTAGAACTGCAAACAAATTTACTAGCAGGCATTATTAGTTCACCTACGCATTGTTACACAGTACTTGTTCCTTGGGGTAGAGATGCTCTCTGTCGAATTTAGCAGCCAATGGTTTCAACTCATTCTCAGCAAAATCTCTGCATGTTTTATGCAGCATTTGGTGTGTCTCTGGTAGAGATGATAGAGATACAATACTTCTCCTTCCATACCACTGAAGTGAGCATCGTAACACTGTAATAATATTTTACAAATCATATATACACTTAGCCTACTACACTTTTAAAATTTGGTACAATACCGTAACACTATACGCTACAAACAAGAATGAGAAATATACTCCTAACGTATTAATTTCGTCATAACCATTGATACTAGGTAACTGAGACTCTGGGTGGATACCGTGTGCTAGCACTTTTGTACTTCTCGAATATGCAGCCATTGGAACTTCATATAAGAGGACACCAATCAGAGCAATACCGTAATGCTGTTATGCGGCAACTACTTTAAAGCAAGTACCGCGAAGTACACACCACTCCGTAAACTTCAACTGACGCAATTACGCGCTATCACGTTTTCCATCTGCAACTGTCAAATGTAATGACTCGGATGCCATGTTCTGCTGCGTGGTTATCCCGACGATCCCTAACCGATCCCTACTATAGCTTGCAATTATTTAGTAAATGACCGAAGCGAACTTGTCATGGCCTTGAATTTGAACCCTTCGATTCCACTCCGTAATATGCTGTTGACACAACCTTCTCCACTAAATAAACGTTGTCCTGCTTGCAGAACTCTTTTGAATACCAGTACATCATATTCATTATGCTGCTATATTTAAAAAGTACTGTAGCCCCAAGCTGCCCAAGCTCAAAGACGTCTACGACACACAAAAGGTAGCTTACATTCGAGTACAGCCATCAATTACATACAACGCCTGGCCCGTCTGGCCCGTTTGGCCCGTTTCGCCCGATTTCGTCGGTAAGAAACCAGGAACGCCAGGAACTGACGTAACCTTTACGTCATCGCATAAGAGTTGTCACGGGTCATTAGCGTCATTAGCATGACCGGTCGTGACAATGCGGGTTAGTGCATTTTATGGATGAAAGCTTGCTTACAGTTTCCAGTCAAGAGCGTCAAGAGTGAGATTTCAGGTTCAGCGCTGTGTAGTCTGATATTTAACGTTTCTTATACCCCGAAAATAGAGGCAGCACGTTACTCCGAAACGTCTGTGAATATTAAGTAGGCAAAATTTGGCATTTTTTCTACTTGTGCACCCTTAACCACTTAATGTTGTTCTTGGTAATAACAGCGGTTTATTCTGATAATCATATGAAATACATAATACACTTTCTTGGCAACATGCAGAGTTGTTTGGTGCTAAAGCATGTGGCACGTGTAATAATCATGCTTTCATGAGTTGGGTGTTAATAAAGTTGCAGAATAGGAAAGAACTATTGTCTCATTGTCCATTTATTTTCCATATATATCCCTACAAGTTAAAAAAAAACCAGGATGTGGAAATTGTCCTTTGAATACAGATATCAATATGCATATACAAGATCAAAATCATATACATCAATCAATAAACATAAATA